AATGTTCCAGAACATTATTTGGTGGACATGAAACGTTCTAAAAACGTTCTTTAAACGTTTTTAGAACGTACATGGTTTTTTGCCCACAGGGAAGGAAGCTTGGGATGCGCTCAAAAGTTATCACCAGAAGGCTACTCTATCAAGTAAGGTTTTTCTATTAAAAAGAATTTGTCGAATGACATTAGTAGAAGGTGGTGATGCAGAGGAACATGTCACACAGATGTTGGATTTAGTGAATAAATTAACTGGACTTGAAGAAGTCCTGAAAGATAATTTAGTAGCAGCGATGTTACTATAAGCAGCTTGCCAGATTCATACGGTGCATTAATCACTGGATTAGAAAGTAGATCCGAAAATGATCTTACATTAGATCTTGTAAAAAGTAAAGTAATAGATGAGTACAAGAGACGTAAGAGTAATGGAGAAAGAAACCAAGAAAATAATGAATTGGCAATGAAGACACAATTCAAAAGAGGAAATAATAAAGGTGAAAAAGGAAAAACTACTAGTGAATGTTTCTTTTGTAAAAGGAAAGGACATTTAAAAAAGGACTGTTATGGTTACAAGGCATGGAAAGAAAAACAGGATGAATCCAAAGCAAACATAATAAAGGAAAATACAGAAGATAATTGTCGTATGATAAGAGAACATACAGGGATGTCACAAACAATTAGGAATATGTGTTTCAAAGCAGGAACATCAAAGAAAAATTAAATATGGTATTTAGACTCAGGAGCAACTAGCCATATGTCGTGTAGAAAAGAAGATTTTATAACACTGGATACAACTAAAGGAGGTATTGTGAGTTTAGCAGATGAGGAAATAACCTTGGAAGTCAAAGGGATTGGAAAATGTGTTTTAAAGTGTTTTTTGGATTCTCAAGATGTTAAGGAAATTGTGCTTGAAAATGTGTTGTTCATCCGTCGGCTAAGCTCGAACCTTATATCGATAAAGAAATTAGCCAAAGAGGGTTATAAAATCGTACTCGAAAAGGAAGATTGCAATATTTTTAAAAAGGGGGACTAAAGGATTATATTGAAATGGTAAAGACTCAATTCTCGAAAAAGCCAAAAATAATACATTCCGATCGGGGGAAAGAATATGTAAACAAGCAACTACAAGATTATCTAAGAAGAGAAGGTATAAAATCGCAATTTACAGCAACATATTCTCCACAGCAAAACGGAGTCGCAGAACGAAAAAACAGATCCCTAGTAGAGATGACAAGATGCATGCTGATTGATGGAAATTTAGATATAAAATACTGGGGTGAAGCAATTTATACCGGAAATTATTTACACAATGGATTGACAACAAAAGGGGCAGTAAAGACACCATTTGAATTATGGTTCTCAAGAAAACCAGATGTGTCTAATCTTAAGGTGTTTGGTTGTGAAGCCTACGCACATATACCTAAGGAGCAAAGAAGAAAATTGGATCAAAAGGAAAGGAAATTAATATTTGTCGGATACTCCGAAGAATCTAAAGCCTTTCGCCTACTTGATAAAAATACCAATAAAATTATAATCAGTCGTGATGTTAATTTTCTGGACCAGAACGTGGAAGATTCAACAGTTCAAACTACAGATTTCTATCAAGTAATGAAAGAAAATATCGCAGATACGGGACTTGAAGATAGAAGACAAACTCATTTACAAAAGAAAAACGATGAGAGCAACTCGACAAGCGTGGAAGTGTTTTTAAATACAATTCAAGAAGATAAACGTCGACCCGATGCAAGAGATGTGAATGAATTGGAAATTACTACAATTATTGAAGATACATCAACAACGGATCAACCAAAGATTAGGCGGTCGGAAAGGTCAAACAAAGGTGTACCTCCAGACATGTACATCGCAAGGGCCAAAATGGCGATAGAAGAACCCAAGACTAGAGAAAAAGCGCTACAGGGTCAAATGGAGCGGAATGGAAAAGGGCAATGGACGAAGAAATTGCATCTCTATTAAATAACAAAACTTGGGAATTAGTACCCGCTCCAGAAAACAGAAAACTTGTTAGCAACAAATGGGTATTCAAAATTAAAGACGATACTCAAGGACAAAAGTTTAAGGCAAGACTTGTAGGAAGAGGTTTTTTACAGAAATTTGGGACGGATTATGACCAGGTATTTGCACCTGTTGTGAAGCAAACCACGTTTAGAACACTGTTGACAATTGCGGGTCAACGAAAAATGATAATAAAACATTATGATGCTAAAACTGCTTTCTTAAATGGGACACTACAGGAAACAATCTATATGAATCAACCAGATGGATATGAAGTACAAGGAAAAGAAAATATGGTTTGTCGATTAATAAAATCTATTTATGGATTGAAACAGGCCGTGAAGGTTTGGAATGAACGACTTGATAAAGTATTAAAAGAACATTGTTTTATTCAAAGTGAAGCAGACCCATGTTTATATTTTAAAAGAATGAACAACAAAATAATCTTTATTGTTGTTAATGTTAATGATCTGCTCATTGCAGGAGAAACAAAAGAGAAAATTGACTTAATAGCGAAAAGTTTAAATGAATATTTTCATTTAACAGATTTAGGATTATTGAAATGTTACTTAGGTATACAAATAGAAAGAAAAGAAAAGTTTCTTTCTTCATCAAGAAAAGTACATTGAAAATATCCTAAAAGAAGTCGGACTTGAAGATGGAAAAACATCAAAAATTCCTCTTGATCCAGGATATTTAAAAACAAGAACAGGAGAGGACACAATGACTGATAACGTAAGGTATCAAAAATTAATAGGTGCTTTGTTATACATCGCAATTGACACCAGACCAGATATTTCAGCAAGTATAGCAATACTCAGTCAATTCAACAAGCATCCATCCACGACCGACTGGACAGAAGCAAAAATGGTATTGAGATACCTGAAGGGGACAAAGGAAAAAAGGTTGAAATTGAATGAAGACAATAACATGGATCAACTTGTGGGATACGCAGACGCAAGTTGGGCTGAAAACACACTTGACCGCAAATCTAATAGTGGTTATATTTTTCAATTATACGGAGGACCAATCTCTTGGGGATGCAGAAAACAAAATTGTATATCACTTTCATCAGCAGAAGCTGAATATGTGGCACTAGCTGAAGCGTGCCAAGAAGGAATATGGATTCTACGTTTACTCAAGGATTTCCAGCACAAAACCGAATTACCAATTACAATTCTTGAAGATAACCAAAGCTGTCTCAAAATGATAACAAACAAACGGTTCAGCAATAGAACAAAGCATATTGATACTCGCTATCACTTCATCAGCAACCTATTCGAAGACAACACCATGAAATTTCAATACTGTGAAACTAAAAAAATGCTGGCATGCAAAAGGGTCTTACCTAGATTCAACGAGCCAGTACCTCGCCAGAATCGACGACACCCTACTGAAAATCCCTGTATAAGATCTTGTACAATTTCCTGTACAGGATCAGCAACTGAACTTGTACTAGTTCTGACCAGTTCCTGTACAGGAAAATGCATACGAATTTGGAACAAGTTCATGTGTGAGATCTTGTATAAGATCTGGTGCAAGATCTTGTACAAGAAAGATACTTGTACAAGAAAATGTACATGATCTTGTAAAATTTCATGTATAAGTACTTGTACATGAACACGTTCATGTTCTTGCACATGTATAGTTGTAAAATTTTTTTTTAATAAAATTTGAGATTTTGATAATTTTTAACCACTAAGATTCGTAACTCATGCATGCTAAAAACTATTGCGCAGCTGTAAAGGTTAAAGTAAACTATTGCGCAGCCTTGGAAGTTTTTAATTTTTAGTAAAGAAAAACATGAATTAACTTGTGCAAGAACATGGATGTGTTCATACTTATACATGAAATTGTACATGAACATTTTCTTGTACAAGCATCTTTCTTGTACAAGATCTTGTACAAGATCTCACACATGAACTTGTTCCAAATTCGTATGCATTTTCCTGTACAGGAACTGGTCAGAACTTGTACAAGTTCAGTTGCTGATCCTGTACAGGAAATTGTACAAGATCTTGTACAGGGATTTTCAGTAGGGGCAGAAACATCTATATAAATATTGTCACTGTTTCTTCATATTTAAACTAAATGTATAATAACTATTTATTTAAGGAATACATAAAAAAGTGCAAAGTTAAAGTGTTTAAATACAGTTAATTCATTATACATTATATCTTAATAAATTATTTTTTCTCTCTAACTTCCATTAAAAACTAACAATAATAAAAAAAATTTGGCTAAAGTTGATGTGTCCAATTCGTAGCCTGGAGATGCGGCATTCTTCTGATCTAGATGTGGGATTGCCAGGGACTTTTTCAAAGACATTCGATCGAATGGCATGTAGTTTTGAGTGGAGGGATTACCATATTCTACATTCCATTTTGGTTTGATTAATTATGTAGATTTCTTCTTTTAATTTCCTCTATAAAGATCGGTATTTGATCGATGATTTGTGGCATTTTTGGCGAAATTATTGGCGATATCATTTCCCCTTATTTCTTTATGGAAGGGGATCCAGCAGAATCTAATTATATTGTTTTTATTTGTTAATTCTTTTAAAAGAGATTGAATATTTTGTATGAGGGCTGTTGTGGGGTATTTGTTTTTTTCATTGCTATTAGGCAAGGATTATTAATTTCGTCTCCTTTCTCAACTATTCCAAGAGACTATTTTTCTCTTTTGATTCTACGGAATCAAAGCTGTCTATAGCATTGGAATCCTACAAGGTGGAGTTTTTGGCCCATTATTATTTAAATAATTATTATTTAATAAGCAGACTTACAGTAACCTTACAGCAAAAAGCCGTGCTATGTGCGGGTGGCTGACACAATTCTTCCATTACCCCAAAGAATTTAATTATTATCTCTATTTTTATTCCTGTATCCAAATCTACACTTATTTATCTCTAATAAAATCACAAAACATAATTGAATAATAAATTTTTAACAATTTACTTTGATCACCAGAAATATTTTCAATTTAAGAAGAAAAACTTGATTTTTCCTTGTAGTTTCTACAAATCTGTCAGAAATATGACCGTTTGTCTTCGTATGACATACAGGAAGATTGTCGAAGCTTTCCGAGTTTTTCCGCGAAATTCAAAATCTACTAGATATTTAAAAGCTCCTATTATCCACGCTCTTCCATTACCCCACCTTCCTCTAAATCTAGCTGATTACAGTCTACATTAGTAATTCTTATTATTTATTCTTTTTGGGCGTTGACTTGTTTCAAAACAATGTAAAATGAATAAGACGATTTTATAATCTGAAAATAAATTTTACTTTATAAAAACACAATTGATCTCTTTAGCAAGAACTATTTTTTATCTCTTTTTAAAACTTTTTGTTTATTTAATTTAATCAAAACTTGAACATTACAAAACTTAAAATACTGTAAAATAAACTTACTGTGAAAAAAGTGTTGACGGATAAGAAAAAGAATTTTCCAACACATATTGTTAAAGGAACTTGTAGGTGTGACATTATAATGCAGAGTGATTTCCTAAATTTTATATTTGGCATTGATAACCATCCGCATTCGTAAACAGCATCTTTTAGTTCTGCAGTCTGCAACGGATATACCCAGGTAAAAAGTTCACGTGGAAGTACGAGTTAAAATTCAAATGGGATTTACACGTATAACGATTTGTTTGAAAATCTACGTAGATTTCCATCTACCGACGCGAATTCTACGTATGTTATTTTGAAACGTTTCCACGTAGAATTCTATCACGAAAAATTTAAGAACTTTTTATAATTTCTTAATCTATTTTAATAATAGTATAAAAAAAATTTATTTATTTTCACGTAAATTTAGCCGTTTAGTAATAATGAAAGGTTTTATAAGTTCCACATGCAAATCTACGTGTAATTGATTTAGAATAGAACGTGTTTGACATGTTTGGTTTCCACGTGAATATTTTTCACCTTGAACAACTTATATTTACAAAAAAATTGTGATGATTATTTGAATTATTATTAAAATGTTTTTTAAAATGAATTAGCCAAATGTCACTAGCATGGAATCTGACATGGGGACGTGGCCTAATAAGCAATATGGCATAATTTGGATAACACTTTTAGAACATTTATATGGGATACAGTATAGAAATGTGAAATATTGCTTAATTTAAAAAATATATAAGTGAACTTTTTTAATACAAAATTACTGTTTACATTCCAGTTTGCAAATATGCATAATAATATAAAAGAAATCTTATTATTGTAAAATTTACTTTCTCAAATCTAATTACTGCGGTACATGTGCAAAACAATCCCAGATAGCAAAATGTCAGCAATATGCCAGGCATATACCTCGCAACGTGCTGACGTGATCAGCAGCATGCGTATTCTCACAAGATCAGACAGATGCGTTTTCATATGTGTCGCACGTCAAGTATGACACTCACATGCAACCCATATGCGTAATTTTGTGAATGCATTTCAGCGCGTTTGTGTCAATCGCATATGTGATACTCAAATGCTTGCGATATTGCTAGCACGAGGGCCACCCACAGCGAGCAAAATTTGTGCGACGCACGATTGTTATCTGGGATGGATTGCATATTCTTTTATATTTCATTTAATAAATTTATAAATCCATGCTAAAATAATTAACAATAAAATCGGAAATACAATTGCAAGTGATACAAACAGTTATCCAAAATTAGTCACATTTTTTAACACCACATGTCATGTCAGATTCCATTATATGTACATACAAGTTACTAAACAATAAAAAAAGAATACAAAAAATTTTTAAATGATTGATCAAACAAAAATTTAGTTACCTTAATAGAAATATCATTACCACGCCAAGTATAAATAAATATTTGAAACAACATGCATATTTGATAAAGTAGATACTTATAAAATTGGAACGTATTTGGTGAAATCTAAAAAACAAAGTTAGTTCCAACTTAAACAGTTTTTTGAACTTGATGTGATAAAAAATAACTTACTGACGTCATTTCGTAACTTGTCGTACAAAGGATAAAGCTACTGACGCAAACTTGTACCACAATTCCAATTTGAAAAAAATTTGTTACGTCACTAACAAATCTAAATGTAGGAATATAATTTTATTCATTAAATTAACAGTCTTCTATATAATTCATAATAATAAATGAAAAAGAAGAGTAATAGTTAATTATACAGATTTTTATCATTGATGAGATAAACGCATTTAAAATTTTAGATTTTATTCTATTAATTATTACAAATAATTATTTTTAACTTACTTTAAAATTGCTTGATATCGCAATACGCATTGAATAATCCGATCATTTAATATTTTGGTTACTACTTTTTCATTATTATAAAAAACTTCATGGACAAAGCTAGATGATTTTATGTAAAAATTATAATATAACTATGATTTAAAATAATAATGAGATTTTGCAAAAGTTTATCTATTGTATGGGCAAATAGTATTGAGTTGGTCAAAATCCCTTATATATGAAATTTTTTTAAATCACTTATTAGGAAATTGAATAAAAAATTTTCTAAAACCAAAATACCAAACATTTTTTAAGACATGAAACAAAAAAATTTCATGTTTAAAAACTATAAATTTTCTAAGTTGAAAATGATAAAATATTTTTAAAGATTCTTTACGCCGGTAAGTTTGATGCAATACTGCTTCTCTTGTAAATTTAAATTTGTCTAATTTTCGTTATAAGTTTAATGTTCAATGGTTCAATTGAATTTGGGCTAATCCCATATTTATTTCCATTGGTAAAGCATTTCTACATTGTAAATTAAATTTTAACCCATAAGTGATCCGTTGTTGTCAAATTATAAACTAACTTTTTTCCATTAGATTTAATGTTTCCATAATCAACTGATTTTTTATTTGGAAATTCAATAGTTGCATCCATTGAATAGTTTTCAGCAACAAAATCTGTTAATTCTTGAAAATCTTGTTTAAGAATTTCCATTTGTCCCACCATAACAACATAAAAATTGGTCGTCATTATGTCAATCATAGAATCCATAGCACCCGTCATTAACAACAAAACTGTTTGAGAAACATATGTGTATGCATAAGCGGGATTTACTGTTGTATTATATGGATACCATGCAACATATGGAAACGCCTTTTCCTAAAAGTTTGATTTTGAATTTTTTAAATTGGACATTAATTTTACAAAGAAATGAATGTATCTATTAACGGACTTTATAGAAATTACTCTTGAATGTATAAAGTTATGACAAGGATGTTTTGTTAATTTTTTAATATTCTTACAAGTAAACCTACTCAAGTATCAGTAATCGATTTGGCTGACTAAGAATTGTAGGTCAGATTTGCAAAATTCAAAATGACATACAGAATTGTTTTAAAAACGTTGGATTTTAATAAAATTTTATATCCAGATGTTTTAGAGGTCGCTGATTAAAAATTTGAGGTAAGATTTACAAAGTGGAAAATGACGGATCCAAAATGTCAAGTAAAATTATCAAATTTACGATAGTTTAATTTGTAGAAGAAAAACTCATTTTGCTTGGGTTTGATTGTAAAGAAAGAAAGGTTTCTGCTGTAAATATTTTTTGTTTGATATAAGTCCCAAACCTCCTTTTCCTTGTGAAACAAGCAAATGAGGAGAAGATAAATCACTATTTGCTGAAACTAATGATTGGATAGTTTAATTATGAGTTAAAAGAAATTGAGTGTATGAGTCATCTTCAAATACTGTATAGAATGGTGTGAGTATGCCAGTGTGTCTGGGCCTTCGACAATTCTCAGAATTAATCGTGATTGTCCGAGAAAATTCGGTGAATTTCGAGCAAGGTGAATGCCGATGCCGTTCAAGATTGGAAATACGCGATAACCGCTGCGATAAAGTCTCTGATTAGAAACAAAACGTGGTTATTAGTAAGTCGACCAATCGAGAAGAAGATTGCAGTGATTCTACGGAACAAATTGAATCCGGAAGGACGAATAGAGAAAAGGAAGGCTCCACTGATTGCACAAGGTTTCAGCCAACAACCCGGTGTGCACTTCATCAAGACATTCGCACCAGTTACACGATTTACCACCATCAGATTCCTGGTGGGACTTGCTGTTAAACTCGACCTGTAGATACAACAATTCGACGTAGCCTCAGCATATCTAACTGGTTATTTAGAAGAAGTTAGCATGGAAGTGACAAAAAACTTTGAAGACTTTCTACAATTTTTATTGACATTGAAGGAAACAGCGACGTCAAAAAAAGTTCCGAAACAATGTTAAAGGATTTCAAGGACGGAAATTAAGTCCGTCGTCTCAAAAAGTTTATTTATGGGCTAAAACAGGCTAGCAGGAGATGGTATATGAAACTTGATAAAATATTACGAAAATTGGGAGCCACACCGACAAAATCAGATCCATATCTCTTCTAAACAGGTGAAGGCGAAGAAATGATTCTGATAGCTGTTTATGTGGATGATTTCCTGATAGCATCGAAGAAGAAAAAGAGGATCGACGAATTCGGCAAGAAACTGGCTGAAGAATTTGAGATCAAAGACCTGCTTGGGAGTAGAATTCGACCATCAAGAAGATACCATAACCCTACATCAAAGAGGTTACATGCAGGAGTTACTCGAGAGGTTTGTCATGTACGAATGCAAACCAGTAGCCACTCCAATCTACCCAAGTCTCTGAATCTGACGAATACGATGTGTTAAGGTGCTTGTATACCTCACCGATCCCGAGTATACTTCTGTCGTATACCATTGGAGTAAAAGAGACAAAAGATATTTCTGTCTCTTTTACTCCAATGGTACACGACGCAAGTATACCCCGCATCGGTAAGGTATACAAGTGCCTTTAGATATCACTTCATTTTTTGACGAAAAGACGTCTACTGAACGGAGATTTGAACCGAACCGAAATCTTTACCGAAATAAATGGAGACAAGAGCTAGATTTATAATTGCTTTAAGAGAGGGCAAACCAAGTTTTGGATATTTTAGTGTGGTTTCTATAAAAGAAATTTTTGTATTCTTGTAAGATCGAAAAATTTGTTAAGTTTTAAATAAATTATTTACTGACACTTGGGTAGGTTTGCTTATTAAGATGAAAAAAAAGGACATTAATGTTACTATGATAAAAGATTTTATACCTGCCTGTTTACTGTCAATGGAATAATGATCCATATGAGACAAGTGCTCAGCGATAAAGAAAGAAATGTGATGGCACTTGCTTGACCTATAGCTGCAGATTCTTTTAATACATTCAAGTGTTCCTTTCGTTTTGGATAAAAAATTGGATCGTGCAATCTTTGAAAAAATTCTTCAATCTTATTGCGTCTCAATAGAAATACAACAAGTTTTGATACAAACGCTACACATGTCAATGTTAAAAGAGAATTCTCAACAATTTCTTGCAAATCACGTCGCATAATATACATGCTCATGAATTGTGGCGGTAAAATCCCTCCAATATAAAACAAATGTATTGCATAGCCATAAAGTTTGTAAATGGATCTATAAAATGACAATATTCACTATAAAAAAAATAGATCAATTAAAAAATTGTATTAAAAAAACCAGAAAGTTAAAATTTTTCCTGTTAAAAGTTTTTATTTTTAGTCTCTGCGTGGAAACAAAACTTGTTAATAATTGTATGAAAATGTTAAAAAAAATGAATGAAATAAGTTTATTTCATTTTCTATTAAACATAAATTTTTCGTCATTATTTTATTTACGAATGAAAAATAGATTCGCAACCTTAATACTGGATGTTTTATTGAAGAAGGCCAAGCGCCAAACAATTGAAATGTTTGAAGACTTATAGAAAATGCGTCTTCTGGTCTATAGACATCCATTTCTTGGAAGAATATTTCCTATCAAGAGGCGGTATACCAGTGTAGCAGGGTTGCAATTTACCTTAATATGCAGGGTACGTAGAAATGAATGTCATGTTATGATATGATATGCAGGAAGTGGATCCATATCTTGTTGCAGTATCGCCAAATGATAGGAGCTTGGAAGAAACGCCCCCTTATTATTGTGTTCTACAATTTTCTGAAACTAGCTCTATAATTTAACAACCCTTGAATCGATTTTAATACTTTATTGTTCCGAAATGTTTCAGTACTGATCAATATGATGTCACCCTTCTATCTTCGGTAGCAATTGGTTGAATTGTAAAGTACATGTAGTAATTTTTGAGTTTTTTTAGTTTTCATCTGATAAAAATTTATTGAAATATAGGTATATATATGTCCTTTAGAAAATATTTCTAATTATATTATTTAAGAGATTTTAAATAATTTTACTCGAAATATTCCTTAATTTTATAATGTGATAAAAATTTTAGAAATTGCTAGTCACTTTAAAGGAATGAGTGTTGACAAATTCCATGCCGGTGTTTGTCCAATATTTTACAAAAACATAAGGTTAAACTAATATAGATTAAAAATAATAGTTTGCTTTATTGATTAAAGAACTCATTATGTAGTTATATATATATATATATGTTTTACATAGATGCTATATATAATTTTCTATAAACATATAGAATAATTTTTTGTACACTTTAATTGTTAATAGTACCATTGAATTTATTGAAATTATAAAACTATACGCATATAATTTTCAAAACTGACTTAGTGCTTAGTGATATAGAAAACTAAATATGAATATATGTAACTTTGGGTTGAAATATTAAATTAACACTTAGTATTTTTATTGTCAACCAGTTAATTACATTCTGGTGGTAAAATAATCTTTAATATTATTCTTAATAACAATGTAAACAATAATTGCACCTAAAATATATTTATGAAACATTTCTATATCAAAAATAAAGAGAGCATTATGCTTTTTAAAAATATTTATGTCGCTATTATGGCGTTTTGTGTCAAATGTACATAAAAGAATATTTTATTTTAAATATATAAGTAAATCTGATCTCTAAAAACACGTTTAATATCTTTTTTCATATCTCATTCGGTTTGTATACTGAACAATAATTTAAAATAATGTACAAAAAACATAGTAAGCTGGTAATAGAAAGTAATTGACATACACTTGGCGAACCGAAAAAAAAACCAAATATAGTTATTGAATCAGATAAAGACTCGTTTACCAGTCAAAATTGTAAGTTAAAAATCTGAAAATTATATGAAACTTGTAGGTACGTGCGCGAAGTAAAAAAACGCAGCCCTATAACCTCTAAGATAGCAGCTAGTTCAAACATTTTTTAGAATACAACTCAACAAGTGAAAATGTTACGATTAAAGTGCGAAGTTGGTAAATGTACATAATTTCTTCATAGAATGACAGATTATTCACTATTACCAAAATATACACATTCGCCCGTCTTTGCACTTTAACCGTAACAAATATACAAAAACAGAATATATAAAAATAAAAGAATCATTACATAAAAAATATTTGAAAACAATTTCAATACATGTTTGACACAACGAATAAAAATTCAAATTTTTTTTATTTATATTCTTAAAATTTTTGATCAAATTCTGGAAAAAATGAGACCAGCAACGACTTAAAGAGAAGTCAAAGTCAATACAATTTTTACATAGAGCTTCAGTGGGAAAATTGCAACGACTTATTGACATACCCTTAAGTTTTTTTTGCACAATGATATCAAAGTTTTAAAAAAGAAATGCAAAAATTTTATTTTACACATTTTTTGTCAAAAAAAAATATTACTCTAAAAACTTCTAGCGGTATTGGCATAATTACTTTTAAAGTTTAATGTAAGAAAAGTACATCTTTAGTTTGGCATTTACATATTATAGAAAATTGATCATCAATTATTATATACCACCATTTAAAAAAAAACAACGTTACTTTACATTTAAAAAAATAGTATCTATTTCTGGCACAAATGGAAATCAAAACTATAAAAATTTTTTATAGTGTTCAACTAAAAGCTGTTAATTTAATTTTCTTAATATCATTTTTTGAGTACTCAAACCCTTTTCATGAATTTTGTTTTGCATCATTTATATTTATACTATAACATAATATTGTTCCGAAACCATTTTCTGTTAAAATTTGTTAATTTTAAAGTTATCACAATCTGGTTCATTTATAACCATTCTAATGTTAGAAACATTTTAAAATGCATGATTAATAATAATATATATATATATTTAAACATGAAACTTATATTCCACACAGCACAATATCTTGCTGTAAGCTTTCCTTGAGTTAATTGTAAGGAATTATATATAGATATTGTGATGTGTGGGATCTTTTATATCTAAAATTTGTAATCTTTATATATATATGTATCTTTGATATTTATAGATTTTTGTTATTATTGAAACTATGCCATCGTTGATATTCCAGATTATTCGTTAAGAATGCAAGTACGCACTAAAGCATCGCAAACAGAATATGGATCACAGTTGCTACTGGGTCGTCGGTCCTCAAGATATCCTTTTTTCTCTTCAGCAACACCTCTTGGAATACGGATACTAACATTTCTACTTGCAACAGCAGCAGAGAAATCATGTATGCTACTTGTTTCACATTTACCGGTTAAACGTCGTTCATTATCTTTTCCTTCGTTTGGATCATATGCTTGAATATGCTTAACATGTCGTTTACGCAATTTTTCAATTGCTTTCTCTATTTCAGTAATACCATTTTCCACTCTCATGGCTTTTGTTGAGAAATTTGTATGTGCACCAGCACCATTCCAGGCACCATCAACAGGCTTTGGATCTAAAGTTGTAATCACTCCATATTCTTCAGCAATACGATGTAAAATAAATCTAGCAATCCAAAGATCATCTCCGCCTTTTATGCCAAGACAAGGTCCAACTTGAAATTCCCACTGTGAAGGCATTACTTCTGCATTAGTTCCTGATATATTGACACCAGCATACAAACAAGCACGATAATGAGCTTCAACTATATCTCTGCCAATGACTTTATCTGCTCCCACACCGCAATAGTAAGGACCTTGTGGTCCTGGAAAACCATTCTTAGGCCATCCAAGTGGTCTATTATCAAAATCTAAAAATGTATACTCTTGCTCGATTCCAAACCATGGTTCAGAGGATGCAACTGTATCCATTGCCTTATTGCAACTAAAACGTTTATTACTCTTTGTCGGTGTTTTGTCGGGATTGAATGTTTCACAAAGTACCAATCTATTATTTCCCTTTCGAAATGGATCTCTGTAAATTGCTACGGGTTGTAAAAAAATATCACTGTTTCCTCCCTCGGCTTGATACGTTGAACTTCCATCATACGTCCAAACTGGTAAATCTGTAAATTAAAATTTTATTTAAAAAAAAAAATTCCCAAAGAAGATGAATTAAAATTTTATCATTACTACTCACCTGAAGGGTGTTTTGGAACAAAATCGAGAGTTCTTGTTTTGCTTCTGAGACCTTCACCTGTACCATCAATCCAGATGTATTTTGCTTGAACTTTATTGTCTGGTTGTGGCAATTCCATATACTTGTTCAGTAATGTTTTATCCAAAGCCGCATTCGGCGAATCCTTCAACATTGTTCGTGACATTGTAGTACTGAAACAAAAAGAATTTAAATTATTTTAAGTAACAACTCAATGAACACATTCTGTAACAAAAAGAGTTCAAAAACTTTAGTTCTAGTCGTGATACGAAACAGGTGTTTTTATTTAAGAATAACTGCACGATAAGTTGTGTGGTTACAACTGAAGTTTCGAATGCAATACACAAAAATGTAATTGGGTAATTATTCCTCGGGTGTATTCGTAGTTATTTTAAGGTATTCTGATGATTTTCTCTAAACTTAGTATTTTGGTAATATAAAATTAATCTGGTATCGACCCCCTTGTGGTAGCCATTTTTCGTTCCGTCTCTCTTTTAACATATGCTTAAGAGAGAGATGAAATATCAAGATGGCTACCGCAAGGGGGTTATTTTTCCCATGATTCCCTATGATTTCTGATCCTAATAATAAATTTTTATTATTGTTAATGTAGTCAACTCTCAATAAGATAAAGTGAGAAGGACTTACTATGTGATCAGTTTAAATAATTCAAAAGGTTTAAAAACATTAAATTTAAAGTATGTCTGCAATCAGTTATTAACTTCAAGCTTTTTAGGGTTTCGTGCGGCCCAGGCCTGAAGGCCTTATAGTAACACTTACCATAGCAACCGTTTCCATGATAACCGTTACCATAACAACAGTTTCCATGACAACCGTTACCATGGTAGTAAACGTTACCTTAGCAAGCTACGAAACCCTGCAATGGAGGCGCCATGTTATCCTTTACTTCTCTCACATTTTTCAATATTGTTTATGCTTAATTCCTAATATTTATAAAAAAACAATATAATTATTATTAGGTTTGAGCTTCTATTAATAAATATAATATTAAAATCACCATTTTGTTTTAGTGTGGAAATTTATAAATAACTGTATTTACGATTAATTCTGCAGAAACAGAACATTTTTTTGATAAATTTTTAATAAAGTTTAATAAATTCAAAATATATTTTGAAAATGTTGAAATTGAAAGTTTCTTTGTTTAAATGTTTTATTCAGAAAGTCATAAAGTGTTGAAGTTGATGCATAAGTGTCTACCACTCACACTGACAAAAATTTGTCAGTTAATTTTACCATCGAACTTAATGTAAAAATTTTATGACACACTGACATCACACAGTTTTTTAATTTAATAATTTCTTTTGTTATTCTGTTAATTGACTATTTTTTCATTAAAAAAAATTTGATAGAAAAAATAGTCATCATACTTGACAGTACATATCTATATCACCAACATAATTTATAGTATATGAATGGATTATACAGAAAAGTGACTAGTTATTTCTATCAGTGCAACTGTGACCCCAAAGACTTAAAGTTATGTATTGGAGCTGTTTTATATAATTTATTTTTGAACTATTTTAGAACATGCAAAGTCAAAAATACTCTAAAAAATCTGTTCGGATATAATTCATTAAATTTGAAAATTTATTTTAAATAAATTTTAAATAAAAATCGTAATAATAAAATAAAATTTTAAATAGCACAACCTCAAAATTATTTAAATTTTCTTAAAAATTTCTTTTACCTTCAAAAATAGGCACGTATTGTGTAAGTTGCAACTCTATCAAGATATTTATAAAAGATTATTATCCATTTTGGTTTATTCCCCTTTTTTTCACACAGAAACTAAAACTTTTTCACGCATGATATGCGATTTATGACGCGACGTAAATGATATGACGCAATCATCTTTGCGCATAAGCGACTTTCTATGGGAAATCCTCTTAGAATTTAGAGGAATATTCTTAAACATAGAAGATTATTCTAAATTCTAAGAGAATTATTTTTATTCTAAAAAGATTATTCTGAATATAAGAGGAATGCTCTAGAATAGTCCTTTTGTTTCGATCCTCTTGAAATTAGAGGAAAATATTCTCATTTAAAGAGTAATACTCTTGTTTTAAGAATAAAATTCAAGAGGATTCTGTAAGAGGAAGTTTCCTCTGAATACAAGAATATATTTTTTTCGGTGTATAGATCTACATTACACATAAAAATAATCAACTACCATTTTTAAAGATTAAAAAATTAAAAGCTGTATGATTAGATATACACAATACTGAATATGTAAAATATAATTTTAGAATTTACTTGCCAAAGTTTTATTTTATTCAAAATTTTAATGTGAATATGAACTTTTCATTTATAAAAGCAAAAATGTGTAGTAAGTAAAAGAAATTTTTAATGTAACATAAATAATTCTTTTCTATTTTTTGCATAAAATTTTTTATGTTGAGTCATCCGATATGTTATCTTTTAAAATGAATTTGTCAAGCTACATACGTCCTTCTACCAAATGATCTATATAATAGTTATTTGGATTTTACATAATTGTATACATATAAGTCATAAGTACCCCAGTAAAAAAAAGAATTGTGAGTAAAGTAAACCAAATTGGCAGTGACTTAAGCTCAATTCGGTTTCGCGTCTAAACCGTATTGGAACGTTAACGGTGAATTCTTTTTTTTCTTATACCTTGAGAATCGAGAACAGGCTAACGTCCGTGTGGGTTTTTATACCTTTATATTTGAATTAGGATTTTGAAAGCAGCTTCATTTGCGGAAGAACTATTATATGGACCCAGAATTGATGATTCTATCTGATTTCCAAAAAAAATTTCATCTTCATGTAAATGTAAGTCAAAACTTTAAACACGTTTTTTTCAAAAATACATTTTTGTAGTCAGTAACCACTCTTACTTGAAAACTACTGAACCGATTGTCCTGAAATTTAACGTACTTTTTCAATACATAATAATCTAGTCTTTAATCAAAGGATTGATTTTTTTATACAAAACTTTTCTTCTTACAGCTGAAAAACGGCCGCTTTTTTTTACGAAAATCGAACGTTCAACTTTGACAGGTCGCCATTTTGTCACCGCAAACCATGTTTTTCGGAAGGACGTCACTTCAACAGCCGGACATAACTCTGGAACTATTTAATATTTTTAACTTTTTTTTTAAATTCAAGTTTAAATTATGTACTTTTAGATAATAAATCGATATTTTGAAAAAATTTAATAGTTTAATCGGCATTTTTACACTTAAAAACAATTACTTTTTTCATTTATAATGCCAACTCGAATCAATAAACGTAAATTCAATCGATTCAGAATTCAAGGTAAGAAAAAAAGAATTCACCGTAACGAATTTACCAATTCGGTTTAGATCCGAAACCGAATTCAGCTTAAGTCAATGCCAATTCGGTTTCGCTTACTCCTAATTCTTTTTTTTACTGGGATGGTATCCCTGACTATCGAATTAGCAGCAGTATAGTTTACTAACCAAAATGGTATTCGTAACCATTTTATTAGTTGTCTGAACTACTTTGTTCTCTCAATGTATATAGGAATTTACATTCCTACATTAAATCCTGTTTCACTTTCCTATACGAATTTATAATGGGGATCCTACAAAATTCAGGGATTTTATATATAGTTTTTTTCTGGAAAATTTCATCGGGTCCCATATAGGATCCTACATGGGGATTTTCAATAGGGAAAGACAATTCCCCAGAAGAAGATTGCATATGCTGATTGACACTACACTATAGAAAATTTCTGTAAAAGATTATACATAAGATTCTATATCGAGTACTTTTAAGGAGGTTCTACACTAGGTGCAAAAAGCAAGTACAAGTCTAAATGCAAATCCCATGAGTGCAAGAGAGTTAGATAGACTACCTATCTCTTTTGCACTCATGAGATTGGTACTTGTACTTGGCTTTTGCACCTATTCTGGAACCACATTTATAATTTACATCGCATATGTTCCGTGTGGGTTTTACATATAAGCTCTTTTTGTAAAGAATCCTCTGAGAAACTTGTGTGTTTTTTTTATTGCATTGTTTCCTGAATTAATTATTCGAACCTTTACAGAATCTTTTCTGAGCATTTCTTGGAAAGTTTTCCAAACATAGAAATAAATCCTTAATTCAAAATAACTTCAATCAGACTCAATTTGAAGTGTAACAAAAATGAGCCAGTGCTAAACGACATAGAACTGACTCATTTTTGTTGCACTTCCAATTGATTTTGAATTCAACTTATTTTGAGTTCAGATTTTTCTGTGTAGTTTTATTAATTGAAGTTTCACCGTTACTCTTTCTGCACATGCGAAAACAAACTTTCTTGAGTTTCATAACTAAATACTTCCAACCTTGTTGTGTGTAATAGGTCCACACGGAGAGAAATAGATGGTAAGAACTTATGATCTTAAGATGGTAAAAAGTAGATATTATCCGGTACTATCATTATGCTACTCGGTACTATCAAAGATGTTACAAAAAGTATGGTTATGTTACCCACTATAATCAAGATGTTACTTCGTACAATCTTGATAGTAACTGATAGAATCTAGATTACTGTCCGTATATGTAAGATCAAATATGGTACCTGGTACTATCTAGATAGTACCCCGTACCATCTATTTCTCTTCATGCATGGATGAAATTAATTTTTTTTCTAAAATTTTATACCGAAATTTGATTCTATGGGAAAAATTACTAGTGGATTTAATAAATTCAATTATTCATGTACAATTTGATATTTAAAAAAAATTATTAATAATCATACTGCGCCTGTACATTGATTTTTATCTATACGTGGACTTATGTCGGTACAGAGTTTGTATATAAAAATAACACAATTTCATACATGGAAATTGACGAGATGTTACATGGTAAGTTTGGCAATAATACATTGCAATATTCAGGCAAGTTTCGGGCAAGATTGAATAGTTCCATCTCACAACAACCTTGCATGGCAAGTTTAAGGCAATATTGCGCTGCAAAATTGAGAAAATATTACACGGCAAGTCTGAGGCAATATTGTCAGGTTACATTGTAACATTAAGATAATATTAAGGTAATATTACAATGACTTTTAGTTTAACGAAAAAATTGACGCATGACAGGAATAGAACCCTGAACCTAATACGCGTGAATCCTGAGTTTAACCAACGAGCCAAACTTACTTATAGTCTTATAGTATATTTAGATTATTTTATATTTTATATTGCCTCAATATTGCCTGAATATTACCCGAAAATATTGCCACAATATTGCCTCAGACTTGCTATGCAATATTTTTTCAATATTGCAGGGCAACATTGCCTTAGACTTGCCATGCAAGGTTGTTGTTAGACGGAACTATTCAATCTTGCACGAACCTTGCCTGAATGTTGCAATGTAATATTACCAAACTTACCATGTAACAACGTATCAAGTTCCATGTTAGAAATTGTGTTATCTGGGTATTATTATATTTATATATTTTTTATAACCAATTTTATATGAATAACTGAAATTGAATGAAATCAGTGCCACAGTATTGATTGGAACTCTGGTCAGTTTGCTGTTTCTTGACTATAACAGCAGTGGGTCAATATTGAGATAGATTAGCAAATGATTATTATTTAAATGATTGAAATAAATATTTATTCGATAATAGACAAGTAACTAATTATTTAAATGAAATAAAATTTTTCCATTATATAGAAAGAAAAAATTCCTCTGCATTTAAATTTCAGCCAAGGAATGTATTTCGGTAGTGTTTCATTAATTTGCTAGTTAACTCACTTAATCAATTTGAGAAAAAAAACAGTGGAAGATAATAATTGACTCATATGCGTGAGTTTGATTGGATGTTGTGTTATAGCAGTTGTACATACTTGCTACCAAAACGTAGGCGTATTCACGTGTGAGAGAATTCACGAGCTGAGCACGCGATCAATGCATGAATAGCAGGGCTGGTTGGAAGATTAGTGGCATGCGAATTTTTTTTTTCTTTTCTTTTTTTTTATTAAAAATGATGTGTTGCATAGTCCAAAAATAAGTCGCATCCAAAGTTTGCATATTTAAGCACAAAATGCATTATGTCTTTGAATCATTCTTTTAAAAATTACAAAAATAAAATTTATTTTTTAAAGTGGAAAATGTTGAAAATTTGTTGATCTCATTATTTTTAGTGCGTGACTTTAAAGTATATCAAAATTGTTTTTTTTTTTTTTAATGAAAAAGAAAATATTTTTTAAAACCATAAAATATTAATTCAATAAAAATCTGTTTTATTTTTTAAAAAACTTTTTTATTAAATTCCTAAATTTGTAAATATAAAATTTTCTTGGGTATGTAATACAAAAAAAAATTGATTCATTATATATATAGATAAATTTGAAATTAAACTTGTTTTTTAAAAAATGAGTTAAAGTGTATGTTTTTCAAGAAACTTTCTTAAGCATTGCAAAACTACAAGATAAATGGTTTAAAAGAAATTTATATGAAAATTATGCTGTAGATTTAAGTATCTGAATATGGCAATGACCCCTACAATTACGTTTCTTGATTGACTGTCATATCAAGATATCTATATCTTATAAGCATAAATTAATGGATTTGAACTTTCGCAGAGAGTTTTTGGAAGTATTTTTCATATAGTTTTTAATGTTAAACAAAAATTTGATATATATTTTTTTACCTATTTTTTCAAAAAGAAGTTTAATTTTGAGTTTTTTTTAAACAGATTTAAATACATTTAAAGAACAGTTTTATTAACACTTCGAGTAACTTTTAAATAACATAAACATTTTTTTTGGTAAATCATGAACAACAGTACTTTATTGATTTATAGTAAAATTTAATACCAAAATAAAGTTTTTGTTTAAATTTTAGAAAATTGCCAACTCCAAACTGCGTTTTTATAAATTATATACAAAATGAATGAAAAAAATGATTTTTTAAAAATAAATATGTATAGGCATATGTTTAATATATTGTTTCATAAAGTGTTTACTCGGCTCAATTGTGTCTATAAAAACATATATACTTAAATGTATTCAATCCTTTAATGCTTAGTATAATGTTTCATAAACACTTCATTACATATGTCAGTTTTTTATCTAAAGTGCGTTTCAGTATGTTGAAGTAATTTTAGTCATGTATATAATTACAAAAAAATTTAATTTTCAAAAAATTAATTTCTTTTTATCGAAATAAAGAAGAGACCCAAAACGAGAATTCTTTTGCTCTCATTCTCTAAGATTGAAGTATAAAGAAAAACAAAAATGGAAAAACCCATTTTTCATTTAGGAAAATCAATATTTTCATCAATATTTCATTTTCATATTTTATGATTCTCTTCAAAAAATGTTTAAAAAAATGACATAAATTCGCCAATATTTTATACGAATTTTTACTTAACAAAATTTTTAGCTAGCAATTTTTTTTATTTGGCAAAAATTATTAACAAGAATTTTAATTTAGCAGAATTCTTATTCTATAGAATTTTATGTGAGTCGAATTTTGAAACGACAGAAATTCCAATTCACCAAACTTTAATTTGTCCGAATTTTTATTTCGTACGAATTTTTAATTGATAAAATTTTTAAGACGCCGAATTTTCATTTGTCCGAACAAACAATCGACTGAAAGATTTCGGCGCAATTTTTTAAAATTCACCAATTAGAAATTATCAAAAATATCGTGGGTTAATTTTAAAAAATGTGCTGAAATTTTTCTGTTGATTGTTTGTTCGGACATTTGTAATATCGGACAACTGAAAATTCGGCGTCTTAAAAATTCTGTCATTTAAAAGTTCGTACAAATTAAAATTCAGTGAATTTGAATTTCTTTCATTTAAAAATTCGAATCTAAAATAAAATTTTAAGCCACTATTAACGATCTTAGTTTTATCATTTAAAAACTAAGGACTTGATATAATATATCATTCGTGCAAAATATTATTTGAATAATAAAATGATTAGCTTAATTATTTTATTTTTCAAACTTTGGGAAGCCCAGTTGGGTATTGGGAAATATTTCCTCAAGGGTGTTGACACAATCTTACAGTTCACCAAGTACATTACATAATTTGAGTGGAAAGCGAAATAATAATTAGATATTCTTACATATGGACGATTCCACGTGTAATTTAAGTCGACCACTTAAATTCGGTTAAATATTTTTTTTTCCATTCTTTAGAGAAAAAAAAGGTATTCGTAATTTTTTGTTTTTTAAAAAATGACTTAATTTTCGAATTATGAATTCATAAAGAGGGCCAACTCTCAATACAAATTATTGATTTCTAAATCTTCATTACATCCAAATTATTTAATAAAAACTGATTTTAATTTTACCTATAAATATAAAAACAAACTAAGGGGTAAGGACACCATGCGCATAATAAAGTAGGGGAGAATGGGGTATGAATAGTTAGATAAGATGTTTTCGAATCTAGCGACTAAATCTGAATTTGTATTAGCAAACGAGTAGTATTTTTGGAAAGCCTAGTTATTTGACTATAATTTTGCTATACATTATTTTGATGTAGACTGCAATCCATACGAGATATGAATGAAAAAGTAAAAAAAAATTTTTAACTATCCGAATGCTAAAAATGTCATAGAAAATCAGTAAATTTTCGTTTTCTTTATTTTATTGGATTTAGACTATTCAATATTGATATAACAACATGTTTTGAACATTTTCTAAATATCAATTATTGCATTAAAATTCGTCTGAACTAAAATCTGAGGTTTAACCAATTTTCTTCAGATGATCACCAATTTCTTGGTCAATAAGCTTCGTTTTTCGTATATATAATTACGTACCATTATGTATATCAACCTAAAAAGAACAATTAAACATATTTTTATAATTTGCAGCCGCATTAGCAGAATTTTATCGAGCCGTAATAGCTCTAACTATATCCTTGCCCCATGAGTCCATATTTCAGTTTTTACTAAATTTTAAGGAACGACGTGAATTAATTTGAAAATAAATACGATTTTCGTGTTCAGCAGGAAATTTCACTTCGGAAAACACTCACGTAAATAAATATTCGGAAGCACTAATATAGAAAATAATATGATAAACACTACGTTAACATTTTAGCAAAACAGGCTTTTTACAAAATTAAACTCCTGACTTCGCAAATGGTAGCAGATTGACTTCCAATTTTTACTATTATCTATTGGTGTTAAGACGCAAATATACCATGAATGACGCGATTTTTGAGCAAGCCAATCTAAGCATAACATCAACTAACTATCCTTGCCCCATTCTCCCCTATTGATTACAAAAATTTGAAAGCTTTTGATAAATTCTTTAAAAGAAATTCTCAAAATCAGCCGTTTTGTTTTTTACGCACATGGTGGCCTAATCCCTTAATCAAGGTAAAACTATCGAAAAACATAACCTATAATTCATTTGCTTCTAAGGTCCCTTTCTTCAAAGTGCGTCACATATTTGTTTATAAAAAAATTGCAAAAAACATTTTTTTAAACGAATATGAATATGTGAAATAAACTTTTTTTAAAAAATTCAACACGGTAAAGTTGTAAAGAACCTTTTACTTAATAAAATGGACATTTTTATTTTCTTGATTCGCAAATATGGTTCTAACATTGTGGATCTTCGATATGAAATTACGAAACACTAAAGTAAAATTTTATCAGCAAATACAGTTCATATATATATGTAACTTATGTGTGATTTGATATAGGAATTATATTAAACAAATTTGTCAGTTATCATCAGGCGCTAGTTATTGACTTGGAATTATATTGCATTTACTTTTTAACAACATTGTATAAACGTTGGGAAACGTCGGGGATTATATTATAAAATAGGCATACAAAAAATTATGTAATTTAATTTTAAAAAAAATTTTTTTGAGATGACAATTAAAACTAACATAATTTTCTTTGTTACTATCTTGAAAATTAATTATGAATAATATACATAAAAATGTTATTTTCAGAAACATAGTATAAGAACAACTAAATGTGAGTCATATATAGAGACGTAAGTATGATTAAGACGGTAATGAAACAAAGCATAAGAGTATATCATCGTTTTAATCTTAGGCTGATTTATAGTCGTATAGTTGTTCTTACTGTTTATTATATATTATATCTTGTAACTTAGGGGTATCTGGTGCGATCAATTATTAATTTATTATAACAAAGTCACATTTTTTTTTATATACACTGAAAAAATTTTGGTGAAGCAGCTGTCCTAAACGAAAAATTTATATAGTCAGTTAACTTAACTCATATAAAAACTCATGGTAAATATTTTTTAAGTATGAAATTAATGGAACATTGAAATTTTTCATTTGGGGCAGCTGCTGCACCAAAATTTTTTCAGTGTATGTATCGTATGAGATTCAGCAATTTTTCATAAAAAAAAGACTTTCTACGCAACAGCGCATAACAACGCCCTTTTAAGTTATTTTTTTAAAATTTATGTAAATTATTCATTATGTGTAAATTTGAAGTATAGAGAGTAAACCATAGTTCAAGTTGAGCAGCTCATTTTAAAACTAATACTCATTTTGTATATAATTATATACTATATATATACTCATTTTGAAACGCAAGAATAATGAATCTTTTGTATGAAAGTAGCATCACGTTCTTTGTCGTTTATCATTGGTTCAGTTTCATATGCATCAAAAATGAGACCTTACAGTGAAAGTCATAAAGAAAGGTTTACAATAATTGCAACAGTTTTTTTCTTTTCTTTTTTTTTTTTTTTTTTGTTTGATTCTATTGGAGTTTTCTATTACGTTAGAGTGATGTAATCCCTTAAGTTACAGCATTAGGGCTGAAGAAATTTTAACATATGTGCTGGGGCATATAAAATGAACTATTGGTACATTATTTAAATAGTTCTTTTTCATTTAAATAATTAAAAATTTTCCATCATAATTGAAGAATTTTATAATTTTTTAAAATTTTATTGATAAATTGTTCATGTATATATTTTTTAACACTTTCTGAAGTCTAAATTATTAATATGTCAAATTAAGAAAAAAAAAAATTAATAATACTCTAAGTTTTTTTCAATCTACTGAAAATAAAATGCAGAAACTTTAAAAAATATTTCAAGTCTTACAAATTTTTTTAGTTACATATTTTTATTTTTCAAATTTCACAAATCAAAGTCTATTAAAAATGTCTGCTTTAAATAATAAATACTTTAGTGCTATTCTTTTAAATAAAAATTCATTTAAATTTCAGATTTTCTATTCAATTTTACATATATGTATTTTTCAAGTGTTTTCTTTGTCTTCCTTACTTCTTCTTTCTTAAATCATTTTACATATATGTATTTCAAGTGTTTTCTTTGTCTTTCTATTGCTTTCTTTTCTTCTTCTTTCTTAAACCTTTCACATTTGTTTTTTTTTAAATCAACTTTTAACCTTCCATAGTTTTTTGTCAGAAAAATTAATTCATTTTCAGATAGCATTTTTTTTAAATAACAGAAACTTTTTTATACTTACAGAAAATTAATAAAAAATAAGAGAACAAAAAAATTTCTTAAATACATTTTTTCTACTTTTTATAGAAAATAATTTAATTAATTGAATATCTGTAATTGATTTTTATAATTTCATTTTTTAACTTGAAATTAACGCAAATGAAAAAAAAAAAATTGAAAATTATTTGAGATAAGAATAGATATGCCTCCAGAATATGAGTGTAAGTAAACAAGACGGTTTTTAAAAATAACTCAGCAATTTTGAAATAATTTCATGTAACCTTATATGAACTTGTGTAAAATATTTAATTATAAAAAAATAATCTTTCAATAAATGTAGAAAACTAAATTTAAAAAACTTGATTTTTATAAAAATGAATTTTTTCTTTATAACCAAATTTATTTCACGACATTGTAGTATTTTATAATTTATTCTAAACCTTATGATTTAATTATTTTCTAGTCGAACAATAATTGATTTTTAAAAAATTGTTTTCTACAAAAAAAAAAAAAAAAAATTAACTCACCTTAAACATCTGCTTAAATTTATCCATTCTGACTTATGAGCTGACACAGCTTTTCGAAAAATACCAGTTTCAAAAGTTCTTATTTTAACTAAAATATTAAGACTCATGTTGACAATAAAGAATGACTGAACACTATATGAAAGAAGGTGAAAATTTTTTAATTCTTTTATAGTTGTCCTTTCACCAGACTTTCTTTCTACAAGGGATTGCGTATGACTAAAGCAGAATAACACCTTATGGCTATGGCTATGTCTCAATGCCAACCAAGCAGACGAGTTCAAAACAAAATCGAAATTTGTGCTTATACACTGAATAGTTACCGACTGTAGAGATGAAAGAAAGTTGAAAATATAAAAAAAAAGAAACTATAAGTATTTGTTTTAAACAAATAAGTCATACTCAATATAAGAAAAATTATTGCAAATACGCACATTAAATAGCAATAGTTTTTAATGTTTTTGATGTTAAAGATATTCATTATTTATTTCTACTTTAGAACATAACAATATATGTTATTTGTTGTTAAAAAAGCGTCAAATGTTTATTATTGTTAAGAACACTTTATTATTGTTAAATAGAATCTTCTTTATTTATGTTTGTCTACAGTCATTTGTCTTAAAATATTTAAATTGCTTATAATATTGTAAACTTGTTATTAATTTTTTAAAATTAAACAATAATAACAGTGTTTTGAAATTGTTATGTAAATTCTTTAGAACACGCAAATCACAAATGTTCCCTAAAGTTTGTTATCTTTTTGTTGTGATATATCAATGTTATATTTCAGTTATAGAACAGTATTCTCCTTTTGTTTCAAGAAAGAACAAGAATTCAAAATCAATTTTACATATGTGACGCGCCGCATGAGAAAAGGGACCTATCCCCAAAATAACATATTAGGCTCAGTTTTTCGTGCACATTAGGTACACGGAAAACTGAGCCTAATGTCATTTCGGGGATAGGTCCCTTTTCTCGTGCGGCGTCACTTATATCAATTAAATTTTCGATATTCCAATTTCTTTTCTTTTGCTGCGTAATTCTGATAATTATTAAAACTTATTAAACTATATGTTAAAAATTTCTTCCTCTAATCCCTTCTAATCATCACATTTCATCCTGTATTTGTAATGGTCAAGCGTGCTGAATAAATATACTATTATTTTTGCACTTCCAATATTTCAAATCTTCTTTACTATATAAGATCCGATATACAAGAAATCATGAAGATATCCATAAACATTACGTCCTTTCATAATGTATTTCCAAATCTTATAGAGCCCCCCTTGGAGTCCAAAACCCTTGTAAATATGCTTACGTAATATTTGAATGGCTCCCAAGTAATTGTTTAAATTTTTTTAATTCGATTTTTTAGGACTTTTTGCCCGGACTAAGTGATAAATATTTTAGAACCTAAAATTAAAATTTTACATTACTAAACAGAGAAAAATGTCAATTTAGTAAAGAAAACACAACTGTTTATTATATATATGACAAATTTTGAATAATATTTCTTGAACACTTTTGAATGTTTTTTTTTTTAAAAAACGTACATATTTGTATTTAAGTCTAATAATGCGCTTCAATTATGCTCGACCATGCGGAATTATGTGATTGAAATAGACAAATTATGCGCCAATTACACGTTAAACTCATATGCATGATTATTTGGAATTATGCAATTAACAAAGATAAATTATGCGTCAATTATATGTGTAAAAAAATATTTAATTTTGAAAAATTGTGCTGCATTTTGAAAAAACTTTTCATTTGTGATACATCTGTTTTAAACATAATCTTGATAGGATAACTATACTTATTCAATTTTCAAAAGCATGTTAATAACTTCACAAAAAAATTTATTTGAAACAACCAAATAAATGTATTGCTATATATACGGTTAACATCATTTAGATCAAATAAATATTTATTTGAATCAAAAAAATTTTGTTTGAAATAACCCCAAAAAAAAATTGTGTTAATACAAAAAAATGGTATATTTGGTTCAAACAAAATTTTCCTCTGAGTATATATCTATATATATATATATATATATATATGTAAGTATTGTTATACTACTAGATATTTAAGTAGTATTTCCCTCTGTGTAATTTCTCGACAACTTGATTTTAATGGAGTAGTTTTGATTACAGATTACTACTAAGAATAAAATGATTTATAGAAATACAAAATTTTTAATTTTGTCGGCATATGTATTAGATCTGCTATTATGAATTTTAAAAATATAATTATCAACGATCTTCCCCCCCAAAAAATACTCGAAAAATAATCTTAATGTTTAATAAATCATAAAAGTAACATAAAAAAAAATCAATGCTGGAAACAGATTGGAACGAAATAGAGTGGGAAATAGATTCTCACCGCATATATACCTACTTATCTACGTGGGAATTTCCAACAGTACAGAGAAAGTAATGATTCTTAACGTTAAAATTTTTTTTGCAAACTCAACTTTAAAACAATTTGTTATAAACAAATATAAAAAAAAAATGTTAAAAACTAATAATTTTATTAGCGAATCTAAGGGAAAAATTACTAAAGAAATAATAATTTTTAACGTGAATAACATATTTCATTGCGATATTAAACAATTTGATCTAAACAAATGATAAATAATAATAATTATTATTTTAGACAAAGTATTTGGTGTGTGAAATAAATGAAATTATATGTATTTTAGATTTCTTTTTTTTTGTGCTTTAAAATTATTACAGAATTTTAGCGTAAAATTATAAGTTTCATAAGTGATGTTCTTCTAAAATTGTTACAAAACAAATGTGTGATAATATTCTAAGATTTTTTTGTGAAAATTTGTTCCATATCTTAGAAATATTTTTATTAAACTGTTATAGATATACTATAATAGAATCTAGAAATTTTTCTCTTCTACTCCCCGGCTCAACGGGTTGCCGAAATACAGGGGCATACATTTTATAGTTTTAAATACTGTCAAAAATGGGAGAAACAAATGAATGTTTCATAAATAGTTAAATTTTGCATATATATATATATATATATATATATATATATATAAATGTTTTCAAAGTTCATATCACCTGTATATGATTTCGAAATAATACTAAAGATAAATATTCCAACTGTAAAAAAGCATTATATTATATATAAAAATTGATCTGATGTGAACCCATTTAGGTGTTTTTATATAATGTTAATAAACATTTATTAATAAATATTGGAATATATAGTTGTAGAAAGACTCCTAAAATTAAAATGGTTCTGGCTCAAAAAGTAAAACCTACCCTGCTTAAAATTTTAGACTGATTCTGGATTAACTTCTGATAGATTAGTTCGGAAGTGAACGAAAAGATAAATTCAAGATAAGTCCTGGACAGTACAAAATTTACGTGATATCAATTCGTGTGATTATAGTATTCAACAATCCGAATATAGATCGATCAAAATCTTTACACAAAAATCCTAATCTGAATTGAGTCTAGAAAAATCCGATATATATACAATCTATTCTGGATTTAGGCGGATTGTCTGTTGCGTTTTTGTATATACATAAATTCCGGATTAAAATTTAAGAATTGAGAAAAAAATCGGACAAGAAGTGCAAATGACACATAAAACCAATTTCTATCATATTTATTAAATTTCTTCTATAATCTAAACGTAAAAATGAATTAATTTGAAGCCCTTTAGATAAAATTGTCTTCGTTTTTGGGTGAAAATTCATGATTTTTATCGAAAATTATCAGTTTTTCCTTGTCAACGCTATGATAATCAATTCTAATCAAGTTCGCTATATTCTTCCTGTAATCTACACGCAAAAATACATATGTGTTCCATAATTTCAGCCCTCTAGATAAATTCGTGTGACCGCTAGGGGGGGGGGGGGTACATGCTTTGCTTCACTAGTCTCATTACTCTCTAAATCTGAATTAGTAAAAATATTTACTAATTTGAATTAGTGACTCACTTTTTGCTTCTGAATTAGTAAAATTTAACTAATTCTAAAGCAAAAAGTAATTATTAGTAACGTTTACTAACAATTAGTAAAATTTTACTAATTCTAAAGCAAAAAGTGAGTCACTAATACAATTTAGTAAACATTTTTACTAATTCAGATTTAGAGAGTGCATGACCTGGTGAATGAACATGTGCAAGATCGGTGCACGATCTTGTACAAGTTTTTTCAACCGGGTTATTTGTGAGTTTTTACTTTTAAGTTTAATTTTTATTACTTTTTTTTATATAAAAAATGTTTTTTCATAAACAACTTATTTTTTTTTATTTTTACATATACATAAAAATACTAAGAATATTTTGCAAAAAGTTTTAGAGTGGGTCTGATGATCCTTTTTGTTTAAATAATTTGTTATTTCCTTTTCTTTTTTAAAATAAAATACATTTTAATTTGCTTTTCTATGAATAAAGTGAAAGATCCTGGTGGACAAAAAACTTTTTATTTTGAAAAATAAAGAAAAAAAAAATTTTTTTAACCAAATTATTTAAACAAAAAGAATTAGCAGGCCCCATTCTAAAACTTTTTACAAACAAAGTTTAAAAAAATTTATTTATTTATAAAAAATCGTTATTTTTAATAGGGTCAGTCGGGGTAAATCCGAACGGGGGGTAAATCCGAACGCTAATTATTTCAGCTTAATTAAAATTTTTAAAAATAAGTTCGATATGAGAATTTTTACCTCAGATCCTCTTGAAGAGATTCTAAGTATTATCCCATTTTTTGTTTGTTAATTAGCAACAGCATAAACAAAGATAACAAGTATTGCAAAAAAGATTGAAAATCAAAGATGACACTCTTTCAGTATTTTGTCTCGTATTTGAAGAAAAAGAAGCTAAAAATTCATTTTATTATTTATAATTGTTTGTTATGAATACTAGAACAGAAACTATATTTGATTTTTGCCTTCTGTAAAATTTTATTAATAATATCAGACCGTTCGTATTTACCCAAGAAAATTGGAAAACTGGGGTAAATCCGAACGGTATTTTTAATAATTTTTTTTTACATCAAAGCCACACAAAATTGTTTTTATTTGATTACACTATTATTTTAACATTATAAAAGTACATAGAAAAAAGTTTTTCTTTCTATACGTATCCTCGTTAGTAATTAATAAGCAGAAACTTAATCTCTGTTCTCTCGAAGGAGTGTTTCAATTTTTTTGCCAAATGGTTTGTTGAAAAAAGTTTTTCAGGATCTTAATAAAATTTGGTATTCTACGGTTTTTGGGGTCGC